TAAATAACTCAAAAGAGCATAACGTTAGACATTAAATTAAATTATCAATGAGTTCACCTTTAGATGATTTTTTTCATCAAATTGTATACTCCGAACAGTATGCTCAAGCCAGAAGACAATATTTATCAGAATGTAAGAAGGCCTTATACTAGATAGACCAAAACTGTGGATAGGCCTAAGGCCTATACTGTAGTATTATAGGAAACATAATCTAATAGATACCACATATATAAGTTGACAATAATGCTACGCCTAATATGAACTTAAACATACGATTGCTTAAATGCAATGGTTTAAACAGTTTATATATATTGCTTCAATGACGATAAGCACAGAAATTTAAAGGAAAATTATAATTATAGTGCAAAGACAAATAAACAAAAAATAATTTTACTTATGTACTAAACTTAATAAGATAACTTCAATTGAGCAATGTAGCCTTAGGGCGATATAAGCTATAATGGTCTGACTTGTAACTGCTTCTACTCCTATTGAGGCCTATTACTAGTCCTAGCTTCCAACTACGTTAAAGTAAAAGGCTATTTTCCGAAAACTTCTCCACCCTATCTCTTTCGGTTCGTTTGGCGAATTATATGCTTATCTACTCCATTTTACATAATTAATTTTATCTTCTATACAATATATCTAACGTTATTAGGCCTTATAGCCTAACAATAGTAACTCAAGTAATGTTTAACGTTCTTACACAAGCTAAATTTAAATAAACTTAGATCCATTGTAAGATTTACTGTAAAATTAAAAGACCTTAAATGAAAATCTCGACATTATTTACATTTGTGTTATGTAGATAATCAAATATAATTACACCATACCGTACGACCAATAATTCGAAGTATATTTGGACCACAATATGGTTATTTTTTATCTTTAGCAGTTCTGAAACAGTAAGCCGGCCCAGCATGGTAAGGTGGTTAGAGCGCTCGACTCGCAATCTGTCGCGGGTTCGAATCTCTGTCGCACCAAACATGCTCGCCCTTTCAGCTGCATGGACGTTATGATGTGACGGTCAATCCCACTATTCGTTGGTAAAAGAGTAGCCGAAGAGTCGCCGGTGGGTGGTGATGACTAGCTGTCTTCCCTCTAGTCTTACACTGCTAAATTAGGGACAAACAAACAGTAAGCCTAAATAGAAAAAATAAATAAAAATGAAACTATAAATTTTTCTAGGGTTACACTTTCAAAATTACAGTGATTTTTTTTCCTGGATACACTAAGTACTTTAAAAACTGGAGTAACTAAGCTTGTTGATTCGTTGTAAAAATCGTATATTTATAGACAGCTCATTTCAAAATTATTTGAACAAAATGACACAATATTTTTTTTTCTTTGTGCACCTTTAAATATAGTAAAGAATGAGATAGGAATTATAGAAAATAGGATAAAGTATGCCGTAGAAGAAAAGATGACGCTCAGTGGTCAAGTATTTTTGAAGGTCAGTGCATCTGTTTTTGATTAAACTCTCAACAAAATTTTTATCATAAAGTCGAGTCCGATATTTTGGATATTTCTTGCCACGTCCTGTCTTAACTTTATTGTTTTCTCTAAGCTTTTCTTTATTTTTGTCTAGATTTACGAATTTGGTGTAGTTTAATCACTTGATGGTTGAAAAATTATTAATTTTGTATAGAATTTCAAGAAATCAGATCATATTATACAGAATTCACTTCAGTTCAAGGATTTTGTTTCTTATACACGCATCCTTTTTTATATTTTGTATAGGCTCAAAAGTTGAGCGAAAAGGAAATTTTATTAAGCTGGTTAAAGGACAAGGAAGCTATCCTAACAGATCAACTGACGAATCTCATGGAGAGAAAAAAACAGGCAGTTGAAGATATGGTGAATATGTGTCATCAATATACTATATGTATAGAATACTTCGTATTAAGCTTTTTCATTATTTTCAAGTAACATTTTATTAAAAAGTAATACTTCGTATTAAGCTTTTTCATTATTTTCAAGTAACATTATATTAAAAAGTGAAACTTCGTATTAAGTTTTCATTCTTTTCAAGTAACATTTTATTAAAAAGTAATACTTCGTATCAAGCTTTTTCATTATTTTTAAGTAACATTATATTAAAAAGTGAAACTTCGTATTAAGTTTTTCATTCTTTTCAAGTAACATTTTATTAAAAAGTTATACTTCGTATTAAGCTTTTTCATTATTTTCAAGTAACATTATATTAAAAAGTGAAACTTCGTATTAAGTTTTTTCATTCTTTTCAAGTAACATTTTATTAAAAAGTATTCAGATGAACTTCAAATGTTTTTATTTACGATGCGGGTAACTTTAATATTATTTTAACTAACAAAGGCTCCTGAATTTCCATTTTAAGAAGTATAACAACTACCTACACTAATCACATTCATAAATGACAATTAATAAAAATACTGGTGATCTGAGCTCTAAAATAACTATATTTTCTAAAGAAAGATACTGGATGCAATAAATGAGCATTATTGTCATTTTTAAAACACTATTAAATTTTTCACTTATTCGTATAGTGTTTTCAGATGTTTTTACTCGAGCAAAACCCCCTGCATATATTATACACACCAACACTGTAAGAAGCACGGTCTTATTCTTCCCATTTGCCCTTGTCCAGGGATACTGACAATGGACGTAATTTCTCGAAGCCGGTATAACTGACAAGTAGTAAATCAAATGATATATTGGGTTTCACCTTTGTTTAGTATTCGTTTATATCTCCGTCACACCAAACATGCTCGCCCTTTCAACCGTGGTGGCGTTATAATGTGACGGTCAATCCCACTATTCGTTGGTAAAAGAGTAGTGGGTGGTGATGACTAGCTGCCTTCCCTCTAGTGATTCACTGCTAAATTAGGGACGGCTAGCCCTCGTGTAGCTTTGCGCGAAATTCAAAATCAAAACCAAGTATTCGTTTAACTGTTGCAACACTTGCATACCGTTGTACTGTTAGTGGAACACTCGTATTTTTAGGATTCAGAATATATTTGTATACCAGCTGGTGTACCCGTCCCCTGGAGGGAAGTTATGTAAATTCATGATTAATTAAAGGTTATCTTAGGACATGAAAAGTTGCTTCCCTTATATGTAACTGTAAAAA